TTTTTTTTCACCTAAAGACTAAAGGGACCACACTCGCACAAGGAAGATAATACTGAACTGTGTCATTAAACTGTCCCCGCCATGGAATGGCGACCTGTCCGGAGTGTACCTGGATTTTTGGTCCACAATGACGCTATGCTGCATATGGTAATAAGTGGATGGATGCTGAAATTGTACGGCATAACAGTTTTAGAGCTTATCCCAAACTACACACTGACAGTCTCCCCTACTCTTCAATTTTGGTATTTTTTGCCTAATTTGAAACAACCTCCATAGCGAAGATTAACTGGAAATGTCAGTGAAATGTCATGGAAAATTATTTTAAATTAAATAAAGACGAAGGTTTCAGGGATTAAATTCAAACTGAGTGATTATGACAAACTCACGAATGTTTTGAAAATAGGAACCGCTGTGTTACAGCTGATCATGCCTTCACAGTACTAAGCCATCAGAGTAGCAAAAGATCCTCCCTGGCCGCATGCAGTTCAACGAATTACATGCCCAGATTAAAAGAGGACATTTGAGCTTTTTTCCTCAAATAATTTCAGTATGCAACGTAGAAACTGGAAAAAAAAATATTGCTTTATTTACGACATACAGCTGCTTCTTAAAGCATTGCAAATTCACACAAATTCCCATCGTATTCTATCAAGAATAAAGCCAAATAAAGACAGACCAGTTGATTTTATCTTATTTTATTTTAATTTTTATGTAATTTTTATTGTCTTATTACACTGACATCATTACCATCAACCGTACCCAGCCCTCCTTCATTTCAGTGTGACATTCTTGCAGTCTAGGATAATAATTACAATTTACAATCACTCCTCTGGCATTTAAATCTTTCCTGGTGATCTATTTATAGACAATCGTGTTGTTGCCTCAGAACCTCCCATATTTCTTCACTTCACATATTTCTTCACTTCACAAGAGATGTCCCTGGAGGCCTTTGGATGAACATAAAAGACATAAAAAAATCTTATATGTGGTAATGTGGTAATTAAATACAACCCAGAAAAGTTCTGTCGTCACTCAGAGACATATATTTTATATATTTGTGCGATGTATCATTTGCATTTTCGTGCAGTTGCATGCAAGTCGTGGCTGTTATGTCTGACTTGCAGCAGCAGAATCTGAAAGGTAAACTATGGTGGCCCCAAAGGACAAAGCAGATACAAGAGAGAAAATGAATGTGAAGAAAGGCTCACTGCAAATCCAGAACAAATATCAATACAAGCAGCAGCAACATTATAGGTACTTTTGCATGCCCGTCAGCAGCCTCAGCGTCTGATACCATCAGGCCAATCATTCTTTTTCAGTATCCTTCAGCAATCCATAAATAACCAAGCTCTCGCTGTCATTGATTCATGAGTTTTTGTCTTTCTCTCTCCTTGTTAACAGAGCATTCGTACATCTGGTCTCATTCTGCTGGAAGCCATCTTGTTTGGTGCGCTACTTCTCTACTTCCCAGTAAGTGTCCATATTGATCTTGCATGCCACCCACCAGTTTACTGCTACTTCATTTTTTTAAATATAAAAGTTCTCAGAAGTCTCAGGGAAACAAGCAGCTGGGTACGTCTGGGTATGCTTTGTCAGGAGAGAGACAGAGTGCGCCCAAACAAACTTGCAAACAAAAGCGTGTGTTCATTATAATGACTAGTTTTAAGGTTTTATTTGATAAATAACTGATGGACCAGTGGGCTTGCATGAATTACCATGAGGCATGCATGCTTTTGTCTGCACATTGCAGGCACAATTTTGCACCTGAGCTTAAAGGCCACTCTTTAGAGCACCACAAACAGCCTCTTGTCACTGAGATGGAGAAGAAATAGTGATGGGCATTGGTAAAAGTCTCTCCTGACATTCATGGTGTTATAAAAGAAAACTAGAGAACAAACACAAACCGCACATATATCCAAACAGATGGAAATAGGTTTGAGATGTGATTTCACCATCTATGAAGCTCTTCTAATGCAGTTATTGGCCATAAAGTAGATATCAAAAGAGAGGTGTGATGGTCAAATCCTAAGCATTACAGGTTTAAAAAGAGGGAAGGAGTGGTCAAGGTCTGCTTTGGCTGAGAAAAAAAAACCTTTTCAAGAAAGAAAATCATTTTTCAGTGTCCAATATTTGTCATGTAGTGTGTGGATGTGGATCCCACACGCAGGTTTAGGCAGTCAAAGCTCGGTTTTATTGATAGTCCATGGAAATAATTAAAAAGAAGGTGAGTGCAAAAAGGTACAGGGAAGATGTGACGAGGCAAATAGCAAGGGAAACTAAGAATCACCAGAAAATATCAAAAACAGAACAAAACTGGAAAGTTCATAAACAAGGCGGGGGGTCAACAACCCAGGACTGGAATACTGGAGTATTCCAGTGTGAAAATATCCCATTAAAAAAAAGCCCATTTCCTCAGTTGTAGCTAGATGTTGTAGTACTATAGTTAGGATCATTACAACAACAGAGAGCTGGACATCACAGTTGGTGCGTACTTATAGAATAAGTGCGTTCTCTTCCACGTGTGCCTTTGCCTGTCTGCGTCGGCTGTATGTGCCAGCCAGTACGTGTGCTCGGGTGACAGCGTGCGTTCTATATGTGTGTATTTACACTTTTGGACTCAGCCCACATTGCACCTGGAGTGCTGCGTCAGGAGCCCATCTTTAGAAGGGAGGCAGATGGAAGAAACCTGCGCGCCGTATAACACAGAGATCTGATGTAGCCAGGGAATTCACTCCTTTCAAATCCTCGCACAGACTGCCAACAGTGGAGCCACTGCTCTTCTCAAACACAAAGCCTGATGGCTGAAAAAAATCAGCCAGAAAGAAAGAAGTTCCAATCGCTCGGCTAAGTCCGGGGATAAAGATTTTGTTCTTATTCTAAAGTTACTGGAGTGTAACCGTATGCACGACATTTCCCCCAGAATGAAAAGAACAAAAAGCTGAAGCTGTTTTTTGTTGCAGCAGACAACGAGCTGCAGGTATTGCATCCTTATGTGACCACACCTTTCTTGCTTTTGCATTCATCCATCCACTCCAGTTTACCCCAAGGATAATCCAGTTCCAAAAATATCCCCCACCCGCAAAACACTCTGCCGTTCTGTCATCCTCACACACATGAAGGTCTCCTTTCCCCCACCCCCCTCCTCCCGTCATGTTTTCCTTTGATTACCTCCTCTGCATGTTCTCTCTCACCTCTGTGTCTGCCTCCCTCTCCCAGCCTTAACGTTTGTTGCTGTTGCCTATTTTCTTTTTTGCTGCCACCACAGACCTCTTCAGCTGCAGCTGCTCTGCTCTGGTGCTCAATGCATTTTTAAACAGTCCATCAAGTTCTAGCACAACTTGTTTTAAAAATACTTCTACTGATTAATTGATGGAGGACGCTTGGGAGGTTGGACGCAAACCAGGAGGGCCACCTTCTCTTCTAGGCAATATAAAAATATGGCTTTTTATCGCAGTCCCCAGTGATTTTGTAATCCACATGAGTGGTACTGCAGAAGGTTGTGACGCTGTCTGTCTGCCTGTATTGTGTGTGTGTGTGTGTGTGTGTGTAGGCAGAGTGATGGATGGATTATGAGTGTGTTTAGGTAGCTTCAAAGCCTCATATTTTCCTGTGGTCATGTGCATGGATTTGCCATTTGCATGTTTTTGTTTTGCACAGTATGTAGGTGGAAGGAGCAGCACATAAGAGCTACTTTTAGCTCTTATGTGCCGTTCAGATTTATTGTTTTGCTGTCATGTGAAGCAGAAAGCTGGAAGAAGTGATGAGGTGAAGATGCCAAGTAGGATGCAAATCCTGAAAACAGACTATACTGAGACTGAGACAGGAGAGACAGATGGACATAAGGAGGAGAGACACTGAAACAGGAGGGAAAAATAACAACCTGTTGAGTAGTTAAGATGTTGTTCACGTTTGCTCCGTCTTTACTTCTGTCTGTTTCAATCCGTTCCAAAAACTAGTTTTTCTTTGTGTATTTTTCTGCTGTGTTACTGGCTCCAGCATTCTTATACTCTTAAACTTTGATTCTCAAGCGCTCAAAACCATTTTACTAACGTCGGCGCTGGAGAACGTGCTCAGATTTTATATGTTATGCTACATTTAAAAGTCATGCTTTCAAATTGTTAATATCACCATCAAAATACTGTGAAGCACGAAAAGGAACATTTTCACGGTACACTCATGAAAAACTAAGTGCACCCCATTATTGTGTAACCTATCGAACCACCTTTAGCAGTATTAACTTAAAGTAATCATCTTCATCTCCTCTTCTTTACAACGTTGTTTCAGTTCGTTGAGGTTTGCAGGCATTTGTTTATCCAGCTCTTCCAAGATCCCACCACAGAATTTCAATTAGACTGAGGTCTGAACTTTGACACGATGATTCTTGTCTTTTTCAGCCATTCGGTTGCAGATTTGCAACCGAATGGCTACATCAATTTTAGCCAGGCTTTTGTTGTCACAAAGATGGCCTCGCATTTGAGTGAATAACACTTTGGTATACAGAGGATATCACTGCAAGATGATCCAGATCATAATCCCTCCACCACCGTGCTTAACTGTTGGAATGAGGTGTTTGTGGTGATATGCTGTTTGGTTCTCTCTAAATGCGACGTGCACTTCATCGTCAGACATCTGCACTTTCGTCTCCCGAGAATTTGCTGGGAAGATCGTGTCATGTTGTTAACACACATCTGAATGTGTCAGACCAGAAAACTGCCAAGATTTCTGCTTTTAGGTGTTCACACTTGCTGATGATCAGTTAAGCGAGTGCCTTTGATTAGCAGATTCTGGCTGCTACGTCCATTCTTATGGGTATACTTAGTTTTTACAGGACTGCATACAGTATACTTAAAGTGGAACTGAAGATTCCCAGTTAATTTTAGTTAGCGCTGGTAACTGTAACTGCAGTTTCATACTTTATGTGTCAGAAATCTTGGGATGGCAAAAACACACTGCTATAGGAAGTCAGGCAACTGGCCTTTTTCCATCATTGAGCAGCTGTGAGTGATTTGAGTTGATGCTCCATGTGGCATTAGTCTGCTAACAGTAGGGTGCAGTAAAAGGAGCAAAAGGAGTTGGTTACCTTGCTGAGAAGCTGGGGAAGCTGCTGTTCTTCATAACAGCTCACTGTAGTTGTGTCTTCAAAATAAATTGCTCCATACAATATTTCAAACTGTCAAAAAAAGAAAGAAAAAATGACCAATGTCTTCTTTTTCAGGAACATTTTAATGAGCAGTGGCTGGTTAGTGCTAAGCTCACTGGGAACTTGTGGTTCGCCAGCTAAATGCTTCCACGGTGGAGCTGCAGTTGAAACTGATGGGTTTGCATTAGGATTAGGTTAATGCAAACCCATGCAGGACCGTTTCTGCAAATGTAACCATGGACACCAAGTCTGTATTTAAACAAATATATAAATCTGGCAACTGATAGACGTCAGATTCCTATTTTAACAGAATGCTGACAAAAAGCAATCATTATTCACTTGATACATTGTTAGAAAATTTTCTAATTTTTCTATTTAATAATACATTAACATCAACATCGCATGTACTGCTTTGGATTCCTCTCTGGGGATTAATTAATGTTTATTTTCAGCAATAGTACTATTCAAGTGTATTTATTTAATATATGGATTATTTATACATGTATTGTGCCTATGCTGTTATGTTACCTGTTATTAATTTCAATTAAAATTCAAATTTACTTTAGCACATGTAGTTCGCAACTTTTAGCTATTGAATAACAAATTTCCTTCAAGCCTCTTATCGATAAGTGAGTCATGTTCAGGCTGTTCCCTTAAATTGACCCAATTCTGACACACACCTGCCTGCCTTCCAATATCAATTAATTTATCAGCTGCAGTATTAAAGAGGAAGAGCAATAATTCCTTTTCTTGGGTCTGAGATGGACTCTGCTCCCCAGTGTCTCATGACGGGCATACCAATAACAGACTCCGCGAGGTTGTGATGATTGCGGATGGAAGGAAAAGCCTGTGAGTGCCATGCTTCATGCTTTGACTCAGTGTGTCACATTTTTAATCAAGAGGTGAGAGAAATGTCTATATACCGGAGCTGAAGTGAGTGTGAACAGAGCGAAGGCTGAAAATAGGGAGTTTAACCGCTCGCTGAACCACATTTCTGAAATTCATCTTGCCTCTTTTAAGACTGTATTTGATTATGAAACAATCACAGCAGCATTATCAGTGATGAGGAGGTAATAAGCTGCAGATTAGTTCCTGTGACATTTGTTATGAGTCACGTTGAGACTTGGCTCTGCTTTCAACTTCCTGAATACCTGCATAAGATGCTGTGAGATTGAATATTTCTGTCCTTTCATCTTTCTGTCTTTGCACCATAGTCTTTGTTCTTCATTTCCGTGGGTAAAATAATGTACACTGTGATTCATATTCCCCACTACACTTTAGCTTCTCTTCTCTGTTAACGCATCTCACAGCCAGACGGTTACAGCCTCGGGGTTGGCTTGTTGCTCAGCTGGGTTTGCCACAGATGTTCTGTTTCTTTTCTAAAGAGGAAAAGAGGTTACAGGTGTTGTTGTTACTTAAGCTTAATTAAAGCAAATGGCTGGTGTCTTTTGAATGCCAAAGCATTGTAAGAGCTGGAATAAATCACTCGCCTTACGCCTCAGAAATGCATTTATGCTGCTTATTATGTTGTACCACAATAAGTCTGAGATTATGTGGTGATTACAAAAAGCTGGAAAGCTATAACCTTCTGTTTTTGGTTATTGTAAAACAACTTACATATAAAAAACCCAAGCATATAATTCAGAAAGTATTTTTGTGCTATAACATTGTTATCCCCAAACAAGCTCCCCGACCTGTACACTGTTTACTCTGCTGCGCTATATCACAGACTGAAAAACTGTCACTTCAGCTCCCTATCCTGTTCTGATTACACTGAGTTCAATCCAGCCACAGCATACAAAGTACCTAAAGACCTGGTCTAGCATAGGGCTCACATATATGTTTTTAAAAAAGCATCATCTTATAAAAAGGAGTAATTGTATAGTCTTCTTTCTGCTCGAGCAGTTATTGTCAAGGTGTGTAGTGGAGAGAATCCAACTGCAAAACACGCTTGCAGGTTGAAAATAAAAGTAGGATGAGCGTTTGTTGGCTAAAGCAAAAGTTCAGCAAATACCAAATTCAGAAAAGGGAAAGAAAACAGAACGAGGGGGCGAGTTCAACAGGAAGATCTGACAAAGGAATAAAGGGGATGAACTAGGATTGGATATAAACAGAGGATAGATTACTCAGTGTGACACAGCTGGGTAGATAGAAACATGGCATGGCTATGATAAAGACACAGACGTACAATTTATTTAATCCCTCAAAGGTGTAATTCACTTGTCCAAATACTATATTACAATATAATATGTTATATTATATTACTATATTTCCAAATACTATACTATGTATAAATGGTTACTATATACAGCACAATATGTATATAAATCTACATATTAGCCAGTTTTAAGCTATAACATATAACACCACATGTGCAATGTTAACATATGGAACAGATGCAAAACATAAAAAAAGACACTGAAATTTTGTTGAAACAGATACTAAGTGTGATGCAGGTCTTTCACTCTCACTTGTGTTTGCTTTTCAAACCACATTTAACACTTGTAGTCCGTATGCTAGACTGAAAAGAAACCCGTTCTAGACCTGTAATCAAAAAGATGCTCTGTGGGAAGTGGTAGTTACTGATTAATTACTGTTCATGTATCTATATAGTTTTAGCGGATAGGTGGAGTTAAGGTCAGCGTTTACCTCAACACAAAGTCACAAAACAGTTTGGCAATCGTAGCACGATCTCACAAAAGATCACACAAACTTCCTTCCCTTACAAAAAAAGTTTGTGTATTCATTCAGACCACACTGAATGGAGAGATTACCCCAAGTTGGAAAGGTGTCACGCTTCGATAGTATTTTCTTTGCTTCAGTGGGAACGTTGCCAGAGTCACAGCACTGAATCTTCAGAGCAGAAGCTGGGATTCGGGTCACCGAAAATGTAACATGTGGCTTCCCGCTGTGTTGCACACTAATGAAATGAAATGCAACCGTAGAAAGAGAAGTGCAAATGGAAGCTTGGATCCTTACAGCATGAGCCTTGTCTCTGCAGCTTCTGCTGTTACAATCTCTTCTGCAGCGGTAATAGGTGTGAATTAACTTCACATCATGCAGAAAATGATAGGCTGACATTTTATCAGCCATCGGCAAATTCTTTATTGCTTTGTTGAAACCGCTCAGAGAGACAAATCGTGACAGGTTGGACCGCACACATTTAGAAACACAAGTGTGTCTATACATGCAAATCAATGTGCAGATAAACATCACTAAACGCGCTCCTAGACCTATAAAGGAATAAGCTCTCAAATTCCTCACATCAAACGTGCTCTGGAAGTTGACATATGAGCCGCATAAAGCTAACAGATGAGGGAACTGTGGAGGCGTTAGATATTCGTGAGGTCAAATCCACCTCCAACTCAGCTTCTCGTGTGCTTACCACATTTGTGTCTCTGACTTCCTTCCTGTAAATACCAAAAACAATCAGAGTCCTAAGATGTGTTTATGAGATGTGTGAAAGTTAACTCTGCTCTGCATTTTTGTAGGTGATGATCCTGTACTTCAATCCCAGTGTGTTTCGATGTATCCTCCTGAGGTGGGTTCGCCTGCTGGGCTTTGCCATCATGTACGGGACCGTCATCCTGAAGCTCTACAGGTACCGTAAATAACAGGCCATAAACGGTGGACATAGCAGCCCATTAGTTTCTAGACTCCACAATTTGAAGCTGCTTTTTCAATAAGGCGCACATGTAAAGCACAACCACAGGCACCACTTATCAGTCCAAAAAGCACGAACAACACAAGTATAGTCAACCCTTTCTGGCATTTCTATGCCGATGACATTCAGTTGTACATAATAATAATGGATTGCATTTATATAGTGCTTTTCGAGACCATCAAAGCGCTTTACATTACAATTCCACTATTCATTCACTCTCACGTTCACACACTGGTGGAGGCAAGCTACAGTTGTAGCCACAGCTGCCCTGGGGCAGACTGACAGAAGCGAGGCTGCCATATCGCGCCATCGGCCCCTCTGGTTGCTAGGGTGTCTTGCCCAAGGACACAACGACCAAGACAGACAAAGCTGGGGATCGAACAGGCAACCTTCTGGTTACCAGATGACCTTCCCAACCCCCTGAACCACGATCGCCTTATGTCTTTTAAGCCTCACCGGATGGATAGGCTGTCCACCCTGCTAGTGCTTAACCACAATTAGTGATTGTCCCACAATCAGTGTTAATTTTGACAGCAAATTTTGCTTTAGTTTTTTTTAGCTTTGGCCATAATATAGCTATCTACATTCTTTTAGTTTTAGTTGACTAAATATCATAATAATTGTCATAGACCAAAGCTAAGGTTAATTCGGTTAACTGTAGTGTAAACTGTTGGAGAGTGTTAGTGTTAATGTGTTCTTAACAATGTTATGCCCGTCTGAATGTTATGTTGGAAACAGGTTCCTGTGATGTGGCTAACTGTTAGCGTCTCAGAAAGTGGTCATTAAATGTCCTTGTCATGATAAGTCTGTGGCAGGCAGGACGCAGGACACAAATGCAGGACACTCAAAGGAATAAACTCAAAGAGGCTGCAGAAAAAACTCCACAAACAATAAACTTAACAATAAACAATAAACCGAAAATAGAAACTAATACAAAACACTAGGAAACCTGGAGACAAGAGACTAGGGACGAGGAGCACGGTGGGAAACACACAAAAACACCACAAGGCTTAAATACACAAACTGACAACGAAAGGATGGGGAACAGATGATAACACAACAGGAACAGGAAGCAACACAGACTAAACTCAAGACACGTAAGCTTAACACAGACATCAGACATGGCAACAGGGAGGAAACAGGCGAGGTACCAGGGCGAAACAGAGACACAGAACAGAAACCAAACCCTAAGAACCAGAAAATCTTAAGAATCAACCTGAAACATAAAATAATAGTAATAAGAATAAAAACCACTGAGTCAACAGATTCAGGACCGTGACGTCCTGATAAAGGCTCTGAATTTCCAAGCATCATGAGGTTATAACATAAACGTTTGTCATGTTATCACGAAATGATTTACGAAACATCTTATTTTTATTGACATGAAATGGGAACTGTGTCCATATGTCCCTGACATTTTCCACGTCATTTTATAAACATCGCACATTTAATAACAGCATTGTTCAATTCAATTCAGTTTTATTTATACAGTGCCAAATCACAACAACAGTTGCTTTACAAGGCACTTAACTGTGTCCTTTAAATTTTAATTTAATTTTACATCAAATTTACATCCACAAAAAACGAATTACACCACATATATAATGACATCATTATGTTGTCTAGCAACCACCTGATGATGGACTAAAATCACAGAGGAAAAAATACTGTAGGCTGGACATGTAGCAGTTTTTCTGAAGGTCGGATTATCTAGAGAGACCAAATCCATTTTTTGTACCAGGCAGATTGAATTTGGGAAGTTTAACATGGACGTCTGTGGGAAATGACTCATTTTTGGAGCCATCCGCCCATTTTAAAGGAAATGCTGTTTTTGGCACTTCTGTGTTGGCTTAATATTTCAATCCTGCTTCCAGTAAACTAAAACCAAAATCACCATTTGAGATGACATTTCCTGTTTGCTTTGTGACTGTTCTATGAAGGATTATGATTAAATAGCAAACCCCTGCGCAACACATGGGCGATATGGAACATACAAATACACACACTTTTTCTACAATCACGCTATGATACATTATATTATGACACACAATTCTAATCTCAAATTCAATTCAGTGCTCAGTTGAACTGTCAAAGAAGCAAATATATAAAATTGTGAGATTTGTATAAAATATTTGCACGTGCCTTATAGATGCTGGAACTCACAGTGCTCTATGCAATGGTTATGCAAAGTTTTATTATGATTGGTTCTTATGTAGGAGGAGATAGGGAACATACAAATACTCTTGGATCATTATAATATGATTTTACTTTAAAACACTAAACTGAAAGCAAAAAATAAAAGTTAAAAAGCCTCTGCCTGTGTTGTTAACTCGCCTCATACGTTTTCTTCTCCCGTCCCTTCTTTTCTTCGAGCCTCTCCTGGTCCCCTCCTCTCCCTTACATCCTGTCTCCTCTCCTTCTATCAACTTGCCCATGAGTTCGTCTTAATTTCAATAATTCAGCCATCTCTTAGTATGCACACACGTGTGCCATCTTGGCACGCATGTGCTTTAGCTTCCTGCTCTTCGGCTCCGGGCTGTGTTACCGAGATGGGAGAAGGAGGTCAAAGGCCGGCCAGAGTGTTCCCTTGGCAAAATTACCAATTTGATTTTTTTCCGAGCTCGCTGAGTGGGAAGTGTGCCCCGGGGGCAAGATCTTCCAGTCCAGGCCCACAGAATATATTAGAGATGAGATAGATTTGTCACAGTCTGGTCCAAAGATAGCAAATGAGCTGGGTAAAAAATTGAAACAGACTTTTTTCTATGTCCAGATGGTGATATAAGAACATGCTGTTGTATATTGTTCCCTACACTGCTGCAACTGATGAGCCTAATATGCTGCATTTTTAGCTCCTTTTACAGATGCAGTAACATCAGGAAGTAATTCACAATAAACTATGTATGCATGATTTCTGTTGGACATGTAAGCACAACTCAAAAATGACAGGGGCCCCCTTTAACAGATCCTTCCTCCCCACTTCCTGTGCTGTCCGCTCTTCCCCCTGAAACTCAAAGGAAATTACAGCATGAATCAAAACCAAACATATTTACCAAGCATGAATGAATTGAACTGATTTAGCAGTTTCTCCCTGCTCATTTTATTTCAAATGAGCATGCTAACGTGATCAGCAGCCAGGGGCGTGAGCAGCACTTACATACGATTTCTCTCAGTCGTTTCTGATATTCAGGCTTGTGCCTCACGCTCTCTCCCTGCTCCACACAGGGTGTTAAAGGTGTTCCTGTCCCGCACGGCCCAGAGGACACCTTACATGACCAGCTGGCGGGTCCTGCGGCTGCTGCTAGTCATTCTGCTGGTGGTGCTTTGGTTCCTTGTGGCCTGGACGTCCTCCGTGTGCCAGAATCCGGAGCTGAGTCAGGCTCTCATCGCTGCGGGTCTCACTCCCGAGGGGCTGCAGTTCAGCATGTGTCTGCTGGACCGATGGGACTACATGATGGCAGTCGGTGAGTAAGTTTGTACGGCTTTCCTGTAATTACACACGTCTGACTTTAAGTAAACCCAAATAAGAAACCGCATCGTTTTCCAGATAGAAAGAAAGTGCTACTTACCACTTAACTGGAAGGGGCTTTAGAGCTTACAGTTTAAGTTCAGGCTGCTTGGATAAGCCTTAAGATTAAGTTCAGTTTAGAAACTTTATTTTTAGAAAGAAAAAAAAGCAGCATGTATGTTGATGATAAAACTTGCCCGGCAACAGTAGTCCAGGGGAGAACTGATGTTTTGCTAAATTTAAGTTTGACTTTTAGATATTAAAGAGTAACTTAAAGCAAAAGATCTCAAACATTTTCAACTCAAGCATGTTTCTGAAATCTGTTTTTTGGTATTCAATGCAACATAAAGTTCATCGTAATGATTCACTGTAACATTGTACACAACCTAAATTCATGAAGATATATACATTTAAATGATGAGTTTATTTTTTAAATATGCAACAGTGTATTTCCACATCTTCATTAGTTGAATTTAGACAGTCCTCTTGCCCGTGTACCCAAAAAGGAGTGGTGTAAAGAAAAGGTATGTCTCCCAACTTTTCTGACCCCATCTTCTGCCTTACTCATAGTGTCAAAATGTCTGTTAATGACCAGATTGTATACCTTTGTTATAATAAAAAATATTTGAGTAAATGAATTGGAAGGAAGCCGTGGTTAGTGAAGGCCCACATGCCCTTGAATGTATGTTACAGTAAATCTCTTAAAGACAGATTCTTAAAGCGGGAGGCAGTGATGTGCACCTCACTGAAGCCGGCCTGACAGCAGGGGAGACTAATCTTGTTTGGAAAGAAGGGAATGGATGGATCCCTGAGAGATGCTCGGCCTGTGTGTGAAGACTGATAGACAGGTAGGCAGGGAGAGTGGAAGTGGCAGGAAAGAAGAAGAAAGGAGCCTGTGAAGTATGAAACTTGTAGGGATGTGGGCATCGATGCACAGAGAGTTTTGCACCATCACAGGAGTGGAGAATTTGAGAGAAGGAAACAGGAGGGAGCCTGTAAAGGAAGGACAGTTAAGGATACTCCAGAGACAGGACGGCGGGACTGCTGTGTTTGTATGTTAGCGGTGACAGCCTCTAACAAACACTGCGCTCTGAACAGGCACCGACCGCGGGAATGATTTGCATCCACGCGTGTGTCGGTGTGTATTTAGGGGGAGCGTTCTTGATGAGAAGGGAAATGAGGGAGCCCCGCTGTCTGCTCTGACAGCAGGCATAAACATGCTGCGGTGTGCTGAGGCTCCACTGAAGGACAGGACGCATCCTGCAAAGCTGCTTTGGAGGATTTTAACACCAGTGCGGTTCACGCTTGTGAAAATGAGCCTAATTGCTTTTCTGTGTTTTTTCCCCTCGTCCTGTCATAATTTCGACATGAGAACGCATGTCAGCGCAAAAATGAACATAACATAATATTTTGCGCTAAATTGTGAAGCAAAGCAGAGCTGATGCGAAACATTATGGATTATGTCACCGAGACGCGCTTATTGTAAATCCTCAATTAATCTGTATTATAGTTGGAGTTGTTATCGTTTCCGTCTTGGAAGCAGATCTCCATGCATCCTGATTCAGAGGCTAAGCACTACGCAGTTTATAGAGCGACCTATTCATAAATATTAATGATCTGTAATCACTGTAAAGACTTGAGGGAGTCATATCCCAGTGTGATCTTTGGCATGGGTGTCGGTGCTCTTTCAAACAAACAGGACGACCTGTGACAGACTTTCAGTTAGAGTTCTCATAAAAAACTAAAAGTATTTTTTATTTGGAAAAATTGGCTTGTTTTTTGTTTTTTTGTTTTTTTTTACTGGCAATAAAAGATGCATAATGTTTTGTTCTACTGCAGACAGAGATATATTAGATTGCTCCCAGTCATAATTCCATACCTTCATAATGCAGCAACCCTGTAGAAATCTCGTCCTTCACATTTCAAAATAATTACTATTGATTTTGTAACTAATGTTCTTTAAAATATAATTACACTGACACTTTCGATGATAACGAGCTACTGTAGCCGTGCACAGGTACTGCACTGTATATTCTGTAAAGTGTTGATACTGTGACGGTGGAGACAGCTGGCGTTTTAAAGACATCTTTCCCATAAACTGCTGTCGACCCGAGATCAGAGATGAGATGAGATTCAGTGATAGCAGGAATGTGTCACCGTGATGTCGGAGAAGCAGCTCCTTTACAGAGGGGGGAAATCAGCGCAAACATGAGGAAGTCGTGCAAAATTTAAAACTTGTACATCTTAAATGTCATTATTGCCATAGTAACACAAGAGCCAACCACGGTTCAGAATCATCTTCTGCTAATTTACCTTTCTAGAGAAATGATTTCTGTTTTTGCAATACAAATGCTGTAAAATAGTAACTAAATCAACACCCAGAAGAATAGTTCAAACTTTATCAGGGACACCTGTTCAGCTTTTCACTAATACGAATACTCAATCAGCCAATCACATAGCAACAGTGCATTTAGGCATGAGAATATGACTAAGATGACTTGCTAAAGTTCAATGGGGAAGAAAGGTGATTTAAATGACTTTGAATGTGGTATGGCTGCCGATCTGCTGGGATTTTCCCACTCAACCATCTGCAGGTTTTACAGAGAATGATAAAAAACAGTTCTCTGGGTGAAAATGCCTTTCTGATGAAGGGGGTGAGAGGAGAATGGCTGCTTTATGCTGATTAGATGGCAAAGGTAAATCAGATAACAGTAATTCAAATAAGCACTTATTACAACCAAGGTATGCAGAAGAGCATCTCACAGTACAGCAGCAGAAGACCACACCAGGCATCCCTCATCTCAGGTAAGAGTGAAATAGGACAGTGGTAGACTGGAACATGTTGCTAAGTCAACAGATCCACTCCAGCAGAGCATCCCAACATCTTTGGGATGTGATGGAATTGCAGCTGAGAATTCTGCAGCTACCATGTGATGCTATCATGCATTAAAATTTCTGAGTAACAGTAACGTTTCCAATGCATTTCTGAATCTATACCAGAACAAATTAAGGCAAGATGGGATCCAACACTGGTACTAGCAAGGAGTACCTAATGATGTGGTTCATTCTCTTTTTGAGGAAGAGGTGAGACCAAAAAAAAGCATAAAAGTGAAAACTCATATATGCAAGCTTTTCAGGGCTGACTTACTCTTTTGAGCTCATTCCTGGATTTTTTCTTTTTAAAGCCAGTTTTATTAAAAAAAAAAAAAAAAAAAAAGGAATTTCAGAAAACAAGCCCCACCATGAGCTGCTCTCTGTGTTGCTGTCGCCCATGGTGGGAGATGCTGCCGTTGGAGGTGGTGAAGTAAAAAGAGACGTCTGGGTCAAAACTCTTAAAAAGCTCCCATGCATTCCTGTGCACCTTTCCCTTCTGCGTGGCCTTTTCACATTCCCTCATACGGCCCTCTTATCTTTTATTACAGTCTCTGCATGTCAGCCCAAAGCCTCCACAGGGTTCTCATTCAGACATTAAGCTGACACATTCAGATGGTGTCAGATTAATGGAAAGGAGTTTGAAGGGAGCTTTAAATTCTCTCTCTCTTTTTTTTCACTAATACTTTAGAGTCTGTGACAAAAAGATTAAGGTTTTGGAAGTTAAATCTTGTACAATTCTGTAAGTGTAGAAAGGTTAGCCTGGTGGTGTCCAACCAACCTTTAGAGCTCGGTGTTTGTTTAACGTGTTGTTTCTTATTTCGCTTAAACCATGCACAGACGCAAAAATAACAATCGATTTTGGTTTCAGTGGGTGTTCTGCCTTTTTGTCACAGTCTAACATCAGGGCTTACTTTTTCAGTGTAGCCGAGCAAATCAAAAAAACAACCCACCCACACGTAAACAACACAAATTTCAGTTTTTTGGGGGGGGGTTTGTATAAATTTCACAACTGAAATATTCATGTTTGATTGGTGAGCTTAGGGTGGGCTGGAAGGCACTTTAGTTGTTTTCTTTTCCTACTTTTTGTCTTTATGCTTGGGTTGGCTAATTGTCTCCTGGTTCCAGCTTCGTGAGGAAGGTATCGACCCTCTAACCTCACTCATAGAAAGAAAGCAAATTAGATCATTTCCCAAAATATTGGACGATTGCTTAAAGGTTTTAGGGTAAGTTTAGTATATTGTGCTGTCAAAAGACAACTGTCAGCTACAGCGGATGAATTTCATACAATATATGACCTCTCCTGTTTTAGGTGGCAAATAGAAACTAAAATTCAAACATTTTTGTGTCTTTTGTTGCTCAGCTGAGTTCCTGTTCCTGCTGTGGGGCGTGTACCTGTGCTACGCTGTCCGCACCGTACCCTCGGCTTTTCACGAGCCACGTTACATGGCCGTAGCCATCTACAATGAGCTCCTCATATCGGCCATCTTCCACATTATCAGGTGGGTGGAGAAAATTTGATGGAACCAGCATGGGTGGGCATGATCAAGGGGGTGGGGGGGGGGTGAGAGAAAGAGATATGCTGATGTGAATGCCTCAATTATGCTCTCTTGTATACTGAATGAAAGAGAGAAAAGAAAAGAGGAAAATGTGGGAACAGAAGGTACAAGAGACACATGAAACAGAGCTAAGAATGCGGAACAATCGAGCATCTTACCCTGACTTGATGAAAATCTCGCTGAGAGTAATAAGGAGATGGCACAAACAGTGGCACAGAGCTTAATGACTTTACCCCTTTGTACAGCACAACCTGTTTAATCATAATCACAGAGATATTTGTCTGTTAGAGCGCCTTTCACAACTGCAGAGCATGTCAGATGAGAGTTCAGCCGCCCCCCTTCATCAGGGAAATGAACTGTGTCACGGCAGGGTAAGCCAGTTGAAAGGAGGTGAATAAAAAATGTCTTCCCCAAGCAGAGACACAGCCTACATGTACTGTTCCAGTGCCTAAAATAAACTCTGTGCCCCGCCGCTGACTGTGCCTGCCGCTCTTTCTTTGTCTTACAGAGGTGGGATGTGGCTCAATTTTCTGAATATTTTAGATCTTCCCTTTCATTTAGCAGTTGTCTTATAATTTCTTAAAAATACCTTGAAGTTACTCAGCCTAAGGTTTAATGCATTCTACAATAGGCTGTCCTGGTGGAAGTTTTCCATCTCTCCATGGAGCCTTTTAGCATGTTTTACAGCATTTATTGTTTTGGCGTTCCAGATTCATTGGTGTCATTTTCACCACTTTCATATGACAGATTTACCAGGCAGCTAGGTCAGAAGAAGCAGCAGGCCTAAAAAGCTTTCTTAAGGTCATGGCCTTCAGAAACGATACAGCAAAACCTGACACAGGACCCGAGAGAGGCACTGAAGCCTCATCAGAAATAGTCTCAGTGGAAGGGTGGCTGTCAAGAAGCCATTCCTAAAGAAGGGAAACGGGGAGTAAAGATGGAGATATGCCAAATTTGGCAAGAACTGGGCTTAAAATCAGTGGCAACAGATCTCAGGGAGTGATGAATTCGAATGTTTAATTTTTGGTTCAAATTGTTGTCAGTACATACAGACAGGGCCAGGCACAACAGACAGGTAGAGCAGTGAGTGTCTACAGCCATCTGTGAAACACGATGGAGGCTCTGTCATGGTTTTTGACTGCATTTCAGCCAGTGGTGTTGGGCTTCTTGTCAATAATTTCACTAGCTGGGACCATGTCCTCAGTTACGATGAGCGATGATGGATGAGGGACCATGTACTGGTGCTGCGGTTTGGGGAAGGCCTTGAAGGGGACTGGCAGCGGCTCCCGGGCCAGGCAGATCCCCATGTACTAACGAGAAGTGAATGAAAGGAAGAAGAATGGAAAGGAGGAAATGGGGGGCATGAAAATGAGGACAGCAGGTATTGGCGAAGGAGGCATATATAGACTGAAACCGGAAGGGGCATGAATGAGGTGTGGTACCGCTCCTGACATTCAGATGATATCTCCACAATTATGAACACAGAAAAATAGCAAGAGCTTCATTTTTCACTGCAATGCAGTAAAAGCACAACTGGATGGAGGAAGACAGACTGGAGCAGGAGTGCCCTCAATAGAGCCCAGAGCTCAACATTACTGAAGCAGTGTGGGACGATCTTGATAGAGAACAGAACAAAAGGCAGCGAACATCCAAAGAACTGCAGAGAAGGTGATCGGCTGTCCACTCTCCTTCCTGGACTTAATTGCCTGCTCAAGAAGTCTCCCCAGAGCCAGGGCAATCATAAAGGACCACCTCCATCCTAACCACCACCTCTTCAACATCCTGCCCTCTGGAAAAAGGTTCAGATCCATCAGGTGCAAAACCAACAGACTAAAGAACAGCTTCTTCCCGTGGGCTGTCAGAACTCTTAATGCAAAATAAAAGTGTGAACAGACTTCTCCAACACATCCACTCTGACGCTGCTATTGATCAACTATGTGCAATATCTCACTCTTTCCATGTCTGTGCAATATTTTTGGTCTTGTGCAATATTTTGGTCTCAGTGGAATTAGCATCCCTACCCTAAATGACCATAGCCCCTCCAGCCTTATTTATTTATTTATTTATTATATAACTGCCCTTGTATACAGCCCCACAAGGTTTCTGTTTCAATGTTTCTTACGCCTACACCATGTGTATAGTTCATTCACATATATGTACACATATATACTGTTTGTTTTTTTCACCTCGTTGTATATTGTTTTCCCTTCTTTACTTTTGCACCTTTGTGGTCCAGCTACCCAATTTCACTGTGCAAGGAACAATAAAAAGCTCTAAACCTAAGTCTACTGAAAGAAATGACAGGAACACTTGACTAAGAGAGTTCAGGCTGTGTTATAGAATATCAAATATTGACTTTTTTCATTGGTTTCTCAAATATAAGTGATGCACTGTAAAGCAGCAGAAAAAGCACCGGTGAACATGTTCCTGTGTTACTTCTGGAGCATTTAGCTAACACTTTGTTGCTTTAACAACCAGTCTTGGCTTGTGGCCTCCATCAGGGTCATCACATCGACACCCGGCGAAGGCCAAAATGTGTTGGTGCTGCTGGAGCTTTGACCTCACAAGGCTCCAAAGCGAAGAACATTTTCGTCAGTCCTGCTGCAGCAGAAATAAAACTGCTTTTACAGAGAGCCCGCAGGAGCCTCGGGCAAAACATTCCATTTGTCACACATTCTCCGATAAAACTGTTTCTGATTGAATATTCTTTCATTTGGGCGGCAGTCTATTGTGCTCCGTGGTACAAGGAGGAAAAGATCACATCCTTTTAATCTGTTGAGAAACTGAAAAGTCCACTGGGTACACCTTCATCAGCTCTGGGAAACTTATGAATCAAGCTGTTCTCATTTGCTGGAGAATAAAACATTGTGAGCTTTTGTGAGTGTTTTTTCCCCTTTTTCTTTTCCTTTTTTTGAGTCTATATGCTGCTGCAGTCCAGAGATAAGGCTGGAGTTGTTCGATATATTGTGTGTGTGTGTGGGGTGTGTGTGTGTATGTGAGTTGGGACACAGAAAACAGACACGTGCTATTCTTTTGGACTAATTCTAATGTGAATCATGATTGGGATTATTATGACAAAAGATAATGAGCCAGTGAATTGTGAACCACCTTGGTGGATTTCTAAACAATGTCAAACACACACGTTCAAGTATTTAATGCCTTTCACACTTTTTTTTTTACTCACAATGCACTTGACTCAGCTTGATACCGCTTAAATAATTTCATTGATTTATCTGTCATGGTGTCTAGCTTTGATTGCTTGCGGAAAATTGGTGCCAAAATGCTGCTACTTAGATCCTCTTGTTAGGCTTTTGTGCACTATTCACGTTCTCCAACAATAATGGGAGCAATCAGCCATGATGGTTCTTGTGAATACAATACCCACTATGATTTAAAACGGCCTTAATAAACGGGAATGATGACATGAAGCTTTTAAAAGGAACCACAAGCTACCAGAATTGCTTCTGTGTGCTTTGACATAGTTTCTGTGTGCTGTCACTGGTGACAAAAATGGGACTTGGCACTTTCATGTAAAATGAAATGATTTGGTGTTCTGTTGACGGCGACAGAAAACAATGTTTCTCCTCTGTGCTGTGAACTTTTAGAGAAACTTCTCAAAGCAGCGTGGGAAAACTTGGAAACAGTAATGAATGATTAAAAAACATGCACGCACACAAGCGTCACCGTTATGTTACACTGGTTTATGTTAACTCATTAATGCTAATTAACAACCAAGACAAAGTTGACAATTTTTCCCGCTGGCTATAATTGCCTGTCGCCTGTGGATCTCCAGCATGAAGCATCCAAAGCCTTCAAAAGCAGTATTGGCTGCAGAGATCTTTCATATCTGCACAAGTCGCCTTTTAAAAAGAGTCAGCTTCTTTCCAGCAAACAGACGCTTTTATAATTTTCCCTCAGTTGTGCGTTTATCCCTGTGTTTACAGTGCGGGGAATGCCTCAGGTTGTGGTATATTTAATTCTGTTCTCGCTGTCCAGTGAGTGACTAAATGCTGCTTTTTTACGTGTGTCTGAGCGTATTTTACAGATGCGCCGAGCACTCTGGCTGCTGGTGAGTCTGCAGAATTTCTCCCGTTGATGTTTTTTCTATTCTGCAGGTTCTCTCTGGTGCCGGGACTGCACCCAGACTGGATGCTCATGTTGTTCTTTGCTCACACTCACCTGACTGTGTCTGTGACTCTGGCCCTGCTGCTGATACCTAAGGTGAATACTTCATTGTTGTTACTTGCAGATCTCACCAGTTATGAGTTTCATGGGCTTTGTGTTAATGATCAACAAAACATTCAGCAAATAAATACAAATTTTAAAAGTATTAATAATAATCTAGACCTGTGGCACCAAGCTCCTCATTAAAAACATATAAAAAGTGTATTTCACATATTAAATATGCAGTGGGATTTTTACTGACAGAAGAAGGAGTCAGCACATAAGTTAAAATTAGCACTTTTTTAACTTATGTGCTGATCACAGGATTAATTCGAGGTACATTTTCCACGACTCTTTTCAGTTAAATCTATTATCCAAATGATTCTATGACAGCGTGAGAGAGAAGGAGCTGCCTGACGCTGGACAGTATGTTTGGCCTCAGGAGCTTTCATAATCTTGTCATTTCACTGGGCCCAGCACAGATTCAAGACAGCCCCATAACACAGCTGAGCCTCCTCGATGTTTTAAAATGGGGCGGATGTTGTTTTATCTCCAAGCTTAATTTGACAGCACAGCTCCTATTGCTTCCCTTGATAAACCACAAACCACATGGTGAAACATGGTCTTGGAGACCCCTATTGCAGGAGAACCTACCACAGAGGTGATTTAAGGCAGTCGGGCAGATGTCCGTTTGCAAATGTCCAAAATGTGCAATATGCAGTCAAGAAACTTAATGAAGGTGTACCTGAAATAGAAACACAAGGTGAGTCTGAAGATGGACTAACACTTTTGTAATATGGAGCTTGACGAAGGGAGTAGTTCCCCTCTAATTAAGTGGACCCTTCTTATTCTAGCAAGTCTACCTTTACATATGTGTAGGTGAACAATATTACTAGGGATGGGGATGTAGGGATGGGTACTTGTTTGATGGCAGATACTCCCTTCACCCTGGCCAAAAAGGCTAAAATGACCAAAGAAAAAGTGGAAAACAGCTAAACATGAGAGGTTTTTGGACAAAGTTAGTGTTTTTTTTCCATTGATTAAGCACTGCTTCCAGCCAAGAGCGATACCATAAATCCCCTATAGCTGCAGAAAAGGCTAACATTGTTATCTTTTTACAAAAAAAAACAGCTGAACATGAGAGGTTTTTGGACAAAGCGTGTGGTCTCCATTCTTTAAGCACCGGTTCGAGCACCGTTTATGCACCGGCACCGTTTCAAAAGTACCAGTTTGGTACTGGTATCGGATAGAACCAAAACGATACCCATCCCTAATTATTACATTGTAATTTCAAATAAAAGACACATAAAAATTCTATTTAATTACAGTGTAACAACATCCTTAGTGGCAGGTTACGGTGGTTGTGAGCCGAGCCATAAGCCTGTCGACATGGCAACAGATGACCCCTAGTTTCTTTGTGGCGTTTCCACACTAGATTTTGTGCGATGTGAAGCACTGTTACGTCCCATCATATTTTTTTATCAAGCTTCTATCATGCCTGCTCTGGCGGGGCTCTACCCCAGAGGTCAGCTGCTTTATGCTTTGACATTTTTTATTCCTCTCTTTTTTTCCTCCACCAGCAACACTTAAACTTCTTAATAATATTAGCAGTTGGGGTCACAACAATATCAGGCTGCTTTTAGATAGTTCTGTAACCTTTACCTCAGTCATGAACGCCTGGCAGTAAATTCCTTCCTTATCTCTTTAGAAATGTCTTTTCTTTCTCCCGTCTATGCTCACTGTCATGCACATGAAATTTTCCAATTAACGCAGTGTTCACATACATGACATGATGCTAGCACTGGTAATACTAAAAACTACAGACTGCTTGACTGATTTTAGGTCTGAGCTCCTCAGCTGTAACAGTAAATGTGTAAAGGGCATTTTGGAGATTTATCTTCCTTGTTTGTTGTTCTGCAAACCAAAGAGATCAAGAAATTGTACAGCAGATGAATAGACTTTTAACGATCCTCATTTCAGCACATTTTTTGGACAAAGCCAGACCATTCATCCAGTAAAGTCCAACTTTTGTTTTGTATACCGCATGTATTGTGGGACACACAAGAGTAGCTTCAATTGGGAAAACAAAAATCTCTTCAGTGGTCTGTACATTTTTCTCATTATGCTGAGAGCTAGTACACTTAAATGGGTAAGTGTAAAGACTCTAATATATTCAGTGAGCGCAGAATAGATTTTGAGGCACCCAAATGAACTTGTGCAGTGTACAGCTGAAACATTAGCCGTGCGCTGAATGTGTTGTTTCTTAGCTTGGGTGTAAGTGCGACTTATTTACTGGGAAAGCATTCCAGCGTTACAGAGTGATTTCCACTGTGGCTACTGCTGCATTGTAGCTTGTACACAAAACACTTCATTAATCATCTTAAGTTCCTTTGTTATTAGCAATGGGCAAACACACAGATGTACACAGGCACGTTTGCTACCATTACCTTAAACTCAATCAAACTGCGTTAGCGGTTATTGTAATTTGGCTCAGCGCTCTCGCGGGTGTCTTTATGTGCGATCTCTCAAGTCTGATGGAAAACATTTAATTCTCCTGCAGTGTGAGAAATGAAATACACCATCAACACTCTCTGTTCTTTCTTAATTAGGCACCTCAGAAGTGCAAGTGAGTCGAGTACACCGGGATAATTAAGCACAATGGGAGGACGTTAATCTCAAACTGCATCTGTTCTTCAAACTGGGCTAAATATTTGGCCTTTCGCCATCCCTAAATTTGTTATTCAAACAAAGTTAAACAATTTGAGCATGAAAATCAAGGTGCAATCTATCATTTATTTACTGAATCATTGGAATATTGCAGCCCTAACGTGCTTTCTGCAGGAAGGAATCACATATGAGGAGGAGATTACTGCCTGCATACACTGAACCGTATACATTTGAACTGGTTAGGCACAATTTGCACAGTTGCATTAGATTAAAATAATAATCAATAGCAAGATAAAATATACTGCAGTACTTTTGGAGCTATTTATCTTTTTTTATAGTTGTTTTCTTTATTGGGGTTTTTAATCTAAACATTTGATAGTTTTGCTGTCGACAGATAGAAATTTCAATTATAAAATAACTGACTTCAGTTACAAAATTAAAGTTAAAATTCGAGTAAAAGATCTACTAAATTAGTGCAATATAATGCTGACTAAAGGTCTTTAGTCAGCATTATATTGTGGACAGCCTCTATAGCCAGCATGTCACATGATAACTTTTTGTCAGTCTTCCTGTAGTTTCACTGATTTCGTTTTATAACCTTGTTCTTGATCTGTTTCAGTTCCTGTACAAAGGGACGCAGGCGAGAGACGATATAGCCACCGAAGCTTACGAGGAGGAGCTAGACATAGGAAGATCTGGCTCCTACCTCAACAACAGCATCACCTCGGCCTGGAGCGAGCACAGTTTGGACCCAGAGGATATACGGGTAAAGCGGCCTTGTTGATCATTGTCAGATATCGACCCATTAAGTCAGAATGCAACATATATTTTTAATGGGGCACCTTCTGTCTTACTCTTCATGTCTGGTGTACCACGGTTTAGTCAGAAATCACAGCACATGTGTTAGACCACGCTCACATTACCTTTTGGTTTGTAAATGTCCAATCTTAAGCCTGGTGCATGGCCTGTGAAACTGGGTGAGACCACATTTGGACAAAAAGGTCAAGTTGAGCTAACGTAAGCTCAACCTGATTAAACTGGTTAACAGCTGCAACCATCATTCTCTGCAGCAATAACTGAGAAACTTGGAAGAAAACATACTAAAAGGTACTTAGCAGAAAACCTAAGCAGCCTACTTGTACCCCTTTGAGTACGACTAAACACACATTTGAGGAAACTGTATACACATACTGGAATGAGCTGTCAGTTAAAGGGTAGGGGCCGCCTAAACATACTGTAATTGGATCAGAGTGACATTAAATGGGTCCATAACTTACAAAATGAGCACTATGATGTATTGAAGAAGACTTAAAATGAGCTGCTGAGACTGTAAGTGTATCAATAAAATGTTTAGTGATGTTCAACTGATTAACTTAACAAAATTTTTCTCAACATCAAAACAGTTGGACCGCAGTTGTCTCCCCATTTGAAATAATGTGGGTTTAAAGAACTTCAGCAATGGCTTCATTTTGTTTAGGTCTGAACACTTTGTCCATCTTTCATAAGCACAGTTTCTTCCAAATATGTACACTTTCCCTTAAGCGATTCCCTTAAGATATTGCCAGTGAAGAGTGAAACAGGCAACATATGGTTGGAAGCCATTACCAGGTGGCCCTGGTTTCTCTTTCAGCAACGTTTCAATGTTTTTGTTTAAAAAGAAGGAGTTTTCTGTCATTGTACACCTGCTCAGGCCCACAAGTTCATTTTTGGCAACCACACAACTATTACCTAAAGTCAGAAGTAAGTGAGTGTTGTAATAAATTATGATTTAAGACTTTTTTTTTTTAAAATTTTAGGACGAGTTGAAGAAGCTGTACGCCCAGCTGGAAGTCTACAAATGTAAGAAGATGCTTGCCAACAACCCTCACCTTCAAAAGAAGCGCAACTCCAAAAAGGGTCTGGGTCGCTCGCTGATGAAACGGATAACAGAGATCCCAGAGACTATGCACCTGCACCGGCAGTGCAGTCGTGATGATGGCAGCGAACACGGCAGCAACCGCAGCACCTTGAGGAGAAATCCCTTTGAGCCGAGCCACCACGGTAAGCCCCGGCTGTAGCATGGAAATGAAGAGAGCCAATTAGTCATTTCAAAGGAAAATATTGTGAGAGCCTGCATGCTTTTTTCCAACTATGCTTTCCTAAACTTAATGTAATGTGTATTATATATAATATTACAAAGCCGGTTGGGTCCTGCTTAAGAAGCTCTATAAATGGGGCTTAAATGGCACTTTATAGTTGATATAAAAGATTGTTTCAGAAAGGTTTAATAACACTGGATTAAAAAGTCATGTTCACGTCCTCAATGTAAATTAAATATGAATTCTTAAACTGGCAAAAGATCAGATTTGCTTATATTTTATTTAAATATAAATGGTCTATTTTTATAATCTCTAATATCTTTGAAGGCTTAATTAAAAAATGTCAAACCTCATCTTCTGCTGTGACCAGAGTTTACAGGTCAAAAGATGAGAAGTTACATTACAAAACAATGCTCTATTGATATGTCCCCCATCAGGAAAACCTCGAGACGACTCCCTGAAGAACAAAGTCATGGGCTTGAAAAAGTCACTCAGCTATGACCACGTCTGCGACCAGGATGAAGAAGGCGCAAGCCAGAGCGGCTCAGCTGCGGGAGACAAAACGACTCCTGTTGGGACTGTAGGGGAAGGATCTCTTCTGGGCTCTCTCATTGGCCGTAAACATGCCAAGAAGCAGCTGGAACCAGCTTCGACTCCACCGAGGCTGGAACCAGCCGTGTCCACCGAATCTGTGCCGCTCTTCTGGAAATCAGCCAGCGCTCACAACCTGACACACGAGAAGAAGCCTGTGCACCTGCGCACTTCCATTATGCAGAAATCCCTGAGCGTGATTGCGAGTGCCAAGGAGAAGGTGCCGGGACTCACTAACAAGACTCAGAGCGTCGAGGATGCCAGTAAGAAGTGCGTGAAGGGACTGGAAGGGAGGACGCTGTCAGAGGTGGATGAGACACCTGAGCATTACCCCAAGATGCCAGTCAGCCAATCGGTGGAGTACTCCAAGACACCTTTGAAGATGGGCATAATGAAGCAACAGGTTCTTTTTTACATAATTACATTCTTAATAGAAACTGATTCAGCTTTAATGCGTAGCTCTTGTGCTTAAATGTCGATTAGCTCACTGACAGAAACTTATTCAGGTTTAATTTTATTAACTGATTAATTGTTTAAGTCATTTATCAAGAAAAGTACCTAACATTTCTATGCGTCCTTGAATATAAAGGTTTTATGTTTTTTAATATAACAATAAGAATAACATTATTATCAGTTGCATACATAAATGAAAATACCATGTCTGCCTGGGGGACCCTTTGCTAAGACTAAAGCTACAGTATATCTCAGTGGTTTTCCTCATGATTGTTAATGAGGTGGGACATTTATCAAGCAGGCTACTCGGGGCACGAGATGCAAAGAGTGGATTACTGGAATCGGACTGTGCCTGGAGACCAGGACTTTGGTAAATTGACTGCTAAAAGACTGACACTGCTGGATTCTTTAAGCATCTGGCCAGATGTACTTTTTTATTGTGCAGTAGCAGTAGAGATAAGCAAAGACAGGAGGACAGAGAGGAGTGAATGGCACGCCGCAGACACGGACTACACTAGCAGTCATTTGAAGTCATGTTTTGAGGATTCCTGTAAAATAGTCCAGGGCTTAAAATGATCTCAAACGATACCTAAAAACAATTTTCCTTGCAAGATCAAGTCCAGTAGTGCTGGGCCAAGTGCAGGGTCAGAGTTTATAAAAATGTTTGCTGGTCATCTTGGGTCAATCAGACGGCACAGATGGCACACATAGATGAATGGCAAGGTGGGGAAAGAAGTAGGTCAGAGACTGCTGGTTGTTTTGCACACTTCCACATTCAGGGCAGAGAGCTGTCAACACATTCAGGACATTCTTATAGTGTGTGTCAAAAGTGTATTTTTCTTTTTACATCTTTTAAATTGCGTCGAATTCAAACGTCAGGGACGCCAGTAAGAAGTGCGTGAAGGGAAGTGTCTGTCCCTGTTGTACAGGCACCACAGGGCTGCCACCCCACATCACAAAACCAAAAGACTTCTCCTAAAGAACTTCTACCGGGTTGAGAAACACTACAGACTCAGGTGGTACGTATATCTGCAGAGTCTGTTATGTAAGTGTTAGGAACTCGATCCTATAAAATATTGATTATATCAGCACCAAGTTACAGGAAGCCAGCACTTACCACAAAGCATTTAACAAATTAGGATGTCTGGTGGTCCACGCTGAACACAGGAAGCCCCCCGGCCCACCCTGACCCCCAAGGGGGAAGCTGGAGTGGTGTATAATATTACAAATACGACATGTGGGGAGCACATGAGCATTATGAAACAGCTTCCATGCTCCCCATAAAGTGATTAGAACTTGCAATACATTTTTCCTATATTGCTTTTGGCTGGACAAGCAAATGAAGCACCTTGGACATTTGAGCATTTATCGTTATTATTATCATTTTGTTGCATTTAATAGAGCAGTGCAGTTTCCATTCTGGAAGATTGTATCCCTGAGGATGGCTATGAGGTAACAGTCATTGATTGTACCTGCTCAGAACCTGGCTGTGTAGAACAGGCACGTTGCAGGTTGCTGCCATAGAGTGGATATAAAGGGTGGATATAGCTGCTGGGTCTGAAAAGTGAAGCCAGTGCAAAAATGCCA